GGATCCCAGCATCCTTCAGGGTGCAGCTCCAAGGCCGTTTTCTCCAGCACCCAAAAAGAGAATTCATTACAGAAATATCCAAGACCACGAGCCTTTTCAGATGTCCATAAAGGCTCAGGAACGGCAAACTGAGCTCGGTGTGATTACATACCGTGCGAACACAGTTCTTAAAATGGAAAGACCACCCCTGCCTCTGTTAGCACCCTAAAAACATGCATATCTTGATGCCTTTTTTCTCCTCGGATCAAGGAGAAATATCCCAAGGCTCACATCAGGACATGGGCCTGGGGGTCGGGAGCCAGGAGCAAAGCAGTCAGCCTAGAGCTGACCTGGGCCCCCAGGACTCCTCCTGCCTGCCCACTAGCAGAAGCAAAGGCCAGATAGCAAATGTGACCAACTGGAGTCCTCGTTTACTCATTTGATAGATATTCAGTGAGTATTTAGCTACTGGAATTATAGCACTGACCTAAGCAGACAAAAATCCCTGCCCTTCGGGGGTTTACGTGCTTGGAGGGAAAAAAACAAATGATTAAAAACAAAACAAAACAAAACATGTACAGAGAGAATGGGTTAGGTGATTACATTTGCTCGGAGGATCAGGGTGATGGGGACGGGAATGGGGCATGCTACTTTATTCTGGATGATCAGGGATGTGTGTCTGACAAGGTGACCAAGAGGAGAGCAGAAGCCACCTGACAATTTGAGGCAAAGCATCCCACAGTAGGCAGAGGAAACAGCAAAGGCCAAGGGCACTGCATGAGATTTCTCTTGCAGCTGTAACAAAAGATCACAGACTTGGTGGCTTAAAACAGCACACATAATCATCTTACAGTTCCAGAAGTCAAAAATCAAAAAAAGGACAGGGCCATGATCCTTCTGGAGGCTCTAGGAAAAAATCCATTGCATTGTTGTTTCTAGGGGCTGCCCACAGGCCTCGGCTCGTGGCCCACACCACTCTGATCTCTGCTTCCCTCCTCATATCTCCATCCCAGACTGTCCCTCTTCTAAGGACCCCAGGGATGACATTGAGCCCACACGGATCACCCAGAATCATCGCCCCATCTCAAGGTCCTTAACTTAGTCCCATCTGCTGTGGAAGGCAATACAGCTATAGGGCTGGGGGATGAGGCCGTGAACACCTCGAGGAGGCCATGATTCTGCTGATTCCAGGCACTGAATCCGGAGTTCATCTGGCAGGTTTGATACCCGGCGTGTCTGTGGAATACTGGGGAGCCGACCTGCCTGGAACAGGCGGAGGGAGGAATACAGGGCAGTGGGCTAATGCCCTGAGTTCGTGGAAAGCTGCTCCTGTGGACCCTCATTGCCCAAACACAGGAGGGATTTAGGAGCCAAATAGAAGCCCAAGAATAAGGTTTATCAGCGAAGGCAGGAATGACACCCCAGGCCACCTAAGTCGTTGCTCTGGGGCTGCCCTGTGCACTGTGGGTCATTCAGCAGCTTCCCTGGGCTCCACCCACCAGGTGCAGCACCCTGTCCCTGGTCAGGAGGACCACAGATGTTCCCCGGGGAGAAGCTGCTTCCTTCAATGGTTGAGATCATGTGGAACAGAGGAATGATAGCACCTACCATGTTCTGAAAGGATCACTTGTCTTAAAAAAAAAAAATTCAGACATAGCAATTAAAATAACCAAAAGTCACACAAATTATGCTGCACCACACCAGGAAATGCACCATTCACACAAGGGAGAAGGACAGGACAACTGAGAGAAGGTCTCTGCCTGTTACTCCAGTACAATTTACAAAGAATGAAGATGTTTAATGACGCTAAGCAAATATGAAAATCGGAGCTCCCCATGACCATTGGTGGCAGTGCAAAAGTGGCTAAGTCATTTTGGGGGTATCTATCAAAACTTTTTCTTTTCCCTTTTTTTTTTTTTTTGTAGGCTCCACACAGGGCTCGAACTCAGGATCCTGAGATTGAGACCTGAGCTGAAATTAAGAGTCAAACACTCAACCAACTGATCCACCCAGGCGCACCCATAAAACTTTTCAATGTACGTGCTTTTACACCCATACATTTCACTAAGTATCAGTCCAAGGACACAGTCATTTCTGCAAGGCTGAGGCCATTAAAAGATATGCACTGTTTGTGGAAAGGAAGAACTGCAGCCATCTAGGTAGGATGTCTGTCCACAGAGGGATGCTAAGCTATGCATCCATACTACATTTAACTACACTGAACTTAATTTATTTAAATGTTTAGATAGAAGCCTGGAAGATGCCACGCCAAACCATTAATGGTGGGAAGTGCAATCAGAGAAGGGGAAAGAGGGTGGTCTCTACGGATTGTGCCTGTGACAAAAACAATTCATGTACTATTTTGTAATTAAAACAAAGAGAAGAGGGATGCCTGGGTGGCTCAGAGGTTGAGCATCTGCCTTTGGCTCACGTAGTGATCCCAGGATCCTGGAATCGAGTCCCACATCAGGCTCCCCACAGGGAGCCTGCTTCTCCCTCTGCCTGTGTCTCTGCCTCCCTCTGTGTCTCTCATAATAAATTAAATTTTTTAAAAAGGGGAGAATACAAGTGGGCATGCACATCTGTAAACATGCATGTGTTATGTGTATGTACAAGCACACACAGGCATGTGCTTCTGACTCTGGCATGTGTGTACAGACGTGTACATACGCAACCCCAGCAGATACTGTCCAGGTGTGGGTAGGGAGAGGTCCTCGCCGCCAGGCAGAGCCACTGATACTGAAATATTTCTGTTAGTTGGGGAGGAGTTTATCTCCCAAATTGGTTAAAGACCATGTAAAATAGCATCGCATAAACCACACAATTTTTCTGAAATGCCCAGAACAGGGCAGGTACTGGGTAGAAAGAAGTACAATCTCCCACTCTCCCAGCAGCTTCTCTGCCCACTGCTGTGGGGTGTGGATGAAGCTCCTGGGGTCACCCACACAGACCGGCCAGCAGGAAATCACACAGGGATGGGCCCGGGCCCGCTCGGGCAGCACAGTCCTCCAGCACAGAGCAGGGGTTCTCAGCCTCAGCACTGGTGACATATGGGGGGATCCTTCTCTCTGTGGGGCCGGCCTAAGCACCACAGGATGTTGAGCAGCAGCCTTGGGCTCTACCGGCTAGATGCCAATAGCAGGTCCCCCAGAGTTGTGACAAACAAAAATGCCTCCAGACGCGGCTAGAAGTCCCCTGGGGGTAAAGTCCTCACTCCCTCTGTCGGGAACCACTGTGCTAGTGGGAAAAGGACAGGCAGTGCTTGTGCAAGCCAATCCAGGACGTCTTCACAATGTGTGTCTGATATTTAAATGTTGCCAATGCAGCCCAGAAGGGCGTTTCTGTCCCACGAAGGCTGAAGCAGGGGGCAGGGCTCCCCCAGCCCCGTCCCACATAGCTGCAGCACATTTCCTAACAAGGTCCTAGCAATCCTGATCCTGAGATATCACTGTCATTTAAAAGATACTGATGAAATGCAGTGTCTTCTCCTGAATAATTTTCTTAAATACTTGCCTTTTCGCCCAAACATATTATCTCAACATTCAAGAGGTTACTGTGTCCCGATACTATCTCTAGAAAACAAAGAAATCACTTGCTATGTTCAGTAAATGTCACAGCAAAACACGTAAACGTAACAGTGATGTTCATAGGCAAGCAACCATGCCTTTTCTGCATTTTAATACAGCATAGCACATTCCAGCACCCACACAGTGCGGCCCAGGAGAAACATGCAAGAATGAGCAGAGGAATATTCAAAGGGCACAAAAGCCCCTGAAACGGGCACCACGTTCAGAAGGAACGCATGACACACGGGCACTCTGATCGCCGAGATAAGCAGCGTGGCCCAACGGACTTGGCAGCGGTCCGGCTGGAAACGTAAAGTCCACCACAGACACGGGGTGAGAAGCCAGGAGGAAGCGGGCATGAACGCTCTGAGCAAACAGAAGGCCCGTGCAGGGCATGCCGGCCTTCTAGCAGGGAGTCATATGATCTGCTTTTGTTGCTATTTTTACATTTTCTAAAAAGGCGACAAAGTGGATTTCCAGACATCATGAATGATACAGTGTATTGAGCAGGCCCGACCAGTTAGCTTCCAGAAAGGACTCCTTTATCCCACCTGGCATTCCTCTCCTTCCCCCCACCCTCCGGGAAAATAGTTCGTATGTGACTAAAGAGACTTTTTTAAAAAAGATCTTCGTAGCTTTCTGAAGCACATATTTGGAAGTAATTTGGTTTTAAGGCTCTTTTCAGAAGATGCAAAAGAAAGTCTCCAGAAAAAGACCATGAAAGCTGGGGTGGGGTGGGGTGAGAATACCGAAACCAGGGTCCTGCGAACATGCAGAGGGACGTGACATGCTAAAAATACTGCCTGCCGGTGAGGATTACATGCTGCCTCTCATTTCTGCCCTCGTCCTACAGTTAAGGGCTGGGGGGGGGGGGGGAGAAAGACAAATTCTGAAAATGGAGAGACAGGGTCAAGTCTCAATTTTCCGAGGGCAGATGATTTACGCGAAGGTCAACAGGAATGGCTGTACTTCCGTTCTCTCCATCGAAATCCAGCCCGTGAGGTACTGCTGTCACCTGCTGACCTTAGTCCTTATTAAACTGTCTTTTCAACCAAGATATGTGACTTTTCCCATTAATTAGGAACGACATGCGTAAAAGATAAGGCAATTATGCTGAAGCAGGTCTGAGGGACTGTTGCTGCTCGCAGAGCTGGAGTCCTGAGCTACCTGACGATAAGGAAGCCGACAAAGTCTCTGTCTTTATTAGATCCTGTCTTCGTAACTGTTCACAACAGCAAGGATTTCACGTTTTAAATGCACATGAAATTTTAGTGTGGGTATTAAGAAGCTTATGCAGAAAGAAAGATCCTGGATTTTTTTTTTTGATCCTAGATTTTTTTTATTCAAGCAGACACTGCTTTCTGGTGGCAGCCCCACGCTGGCGCTCCACAAAACCTCTTCCCATGGGAGAAAGAAAGGGAGCAGAAGGCAAGATTTTAAAAAGGAACTTCTTACCTCTTTCTCGCTTCCTCATACTGCCAATTAAGCCTGACTCGGTCTACAAGTCTTGTTTTATCATCAAAGACAAACTTTCAGGAACAGAAGAAAAAAAAAGGAGGGGGACATATTAAAAACATATTTTTAAAAGAGAAAATTCATTTCAACTTGCAGCAACAATGAATAATATCTTAATATGTCCTTAAATTTCCATTTTTCAAGGCTCTGGAAGGAAACACACTAAACAATGCTCAGTTGCTACCTCTGGTTGGTGGGAGCTGTGAGTGGGGCTGGGAAGGCTGCTTCCCAAACACTGGTGGATTTGTTTGTTTTTTTTTTCCCCCACAATGTAAGTGTATTCATCTACTGTGTAATTCCTAACAACAACAAAAAATTAAGTTTAAAAAAATAATTGTCTAGCAAAAGTTGATACAAAGGCAAAAATATTCATCCCATTTTGTACAGTACATTCTCTTGTTCTTCAATAAATACAGCATGATGATGTTCTCCTAAGAAGTCACAAGACCTGAAGGAGATAGACAAGCTATGTGAGGTATGGGCTACAGGCCTCCTTCAAATGTTACGTGGCATGTTAAAGCACCAAAGGCCAAAAGCAAAGAAAGCAAGGTCTGAAAGAGCCCGCTGAGGGCACATCACCTCAGAGTTAGAATGGAAACGACGTGGTGCTCTGGTGTGATCACTAGCTGTACTTAATATTTTCATATCAATCACACTGAACTAAAGAAGTTCCTAAAACAAAACAAAAAATGACCTGTATGGAGATAATTATAGCTCACCTTGGTTATTTCTTTGTTCATTCTTGGAAATATATAACACTACTTCATTAAATCAATTGTTGCTGTAGATCTGACCTTAACTAGACCATATATTGTAGCCACTAAGTCTTTTTTTTTTTACTAATCTCGTATCAACAAACATTTGAAAATATTCTATTTGAATGATTGGTGACGAATTTATTGATACCAGTTTTGATATACATTAATAGGAATTTCTTCATATCTTCATTGCCTTGAATGGCGAGATGAAGAAATGGCTTATGGGGGACTGAGCAAGCATTCTCTGATGGGATGGGTAATAATTGTACACATTTTAACAGCCTCATCCGGTACCCCTCTCCATGGTTTCTTCAGTATAAATATATGGATGCTATATTACATCTCTTAGAAATTGTCTACGCTAGAAATGAGCTATTGGTTACCTTATCACCTTGTTAGAGACTCCTGCAGCTGACCCCTCATCAAGACCAGTAAATGTCATTTCTTAAACCTCTTCTTCATGCTGTCTATAGATCTCTAAGCTCTGTTTCTGCATTCTTCTTTGAGAACAAAATGGACATCTTAGTCAAAAAAAGGAGAAACCTATGGCCCAATGGATTCAACAGGTTCCCCCTTCACAGTTTCTATGTAGTCTTACAGCACATACCGCAATCACTAAATCCCAATGTTAGGCCTGTAGTGCAGACACACTTGTGTTTGCAAAAGTATGTCTAATTACATCAAGGCCCATCCTAAAAAAACCGATGACTCAAAGTGCTAACTAAGTCAGGTATGCAGAGTCAGGTATGCAGATGTCTAAGATGGTCCCCAATGGTCTCCACTTCTTCAGATTTGCCCCAAGTGAAATCACCTTGAGTGCGCTCTAGAGCCATAATTTGCCTGTAACCAACAGAATACAACAAGGATGATAGGAAGCCATTCCTGTGATTAGCTTCCATCTTGCTACCAGACTAAGTTTGCACACTTTGATGAAGCAAGCTACTGTGCCAGAGAGGATACTCTGTATGGTAAAGCAGCAGAGCCCTCCATCCAACAACCTGTGAGCAAGTGAATCCTGCCAACAGTCGTGTGAGCTTGAGTGGCCCCTTCCCCAGTCAAGTCCTCAGATGAGACCGCAGCCCTGGGTGACACCCTACCTGGAGTTTCGGGAGAACCCAATACACAGGACCCTGCCCAGACTCCTGAGAAGCAGGATGAGTCTGAGATAATACAAGAGTGCTGTTTTCAGATGCTAGGTTTGGGAGTAATCTGTTATGCAGCAAGAGCCAACTAATCCATTACAGCCTTTCAATATACTTTTTTTATAACTACGTGATATAGTGGAAAGCACAGGGGTGGGTTTAGGCATCAGAGATGTTGACTGAAACCCAAGCAGATCTGCCTCTCCCTGGCTACATGACCTTAGGTGACTTGGTACCTCTATCCCCTCATCTATCAAAAGGATATGGAAACAACTAACAAGACAACAGCCATGAAGCTGTCAACCCAGGGCCCCAGTAACCTCACAAACATGCCAATTTACTGTTCAAGTTACTGCAACAGCATAACCAGCCACTCTGCACCTGACATTTTTAGAAAGTCTTCCTAGATCATTAGAGATTAGAATCTTTGATCTTACCTGTTCCTAACTAGTTGAATCTCTAAATTCTAACTCTAACCTATGATAAAAGTAATAAATTATTCATGGAATTCAATGAGACTTGTTTCTTTCCTTCCCACATGTCAAAATCTTTAGGCAAAAGTGGAAGATGTTTCTGACCTACAGACTCTTTTCTGTGTGTTATACAGATGGTGATCATCATATTCTTTCAACCAAAATTGCCTTGTCAAAAATGTCTCAGTGTAAAAAACCAAAAAACAAAACAAAAAACTGTCAAAGTGTACTTCTGAGAGCAATGACAGGAAAACTGAAAATACGACTGTTTCAGGACGTCCAGAAAGAGTCACTATTTACCACATTATACTCAAAGAGTTACTATTTGCTCAAATTTCAAAATATTCACTAATTATTTAAAACCCAGTGTTTTTTGTCAATGGCTTTTTTTCTCCTTTTTCTTTTTCTTTATTTAATTTTGGGGAGGACATTCCACATTCCACTGATGGCTCATCTTTACTTAATAAGCCCTAAGAAAAAGAAGCCATCTTTTTTTTCCCATTTGTTTTCTGTTTGTAATAAACTTCACTCAGTAACATTACAACAGTAATGTCTTTAAGTATTCACTACCCTACTTCAGATGATGATTGCCAACTTTGTTTTTGTGGCTAATTCAAGGCTTCACTAATTATCAAAAGGGGCATTATAAAATCCTTCCAAATTCCAAGCAAAATTAATTTTGATTCAATTCAATTTCCTGACATTCTTTTAGAACAAGAAACAGCATCAAAGCATAACCCAAGGGCAACACAGCCACAAAGCCTCTGAAAATCACTGGTCTAAGCCAAAGATCACTAAACTATGGCCCCCACAGGCCAAATCCTGTTTTTATAAATAAAGTTTTATTGGAACACAGCCCTGCCCATTCGTTCACATATTGCCCATGGCTGCCTTTGCACTATAACAACACAATTAGGTAGTTATAGCAGAGACTGCATGGCCTGCAAGGCCTAAAGTATTTACTATGTGGACCTTTACAGGAAAAGTTAGCTGATCCCTGCTCTAAAATATCATATGTCAGGGTGTCTAAGTGGCTAAGTCAGTTAAGCATCCGACTCTCGATTTCGGCTCAGATCATGAGCTCAGGGTCATGGGATTGAGTCCCACACTGGGCTCCATGCTCAACGCAGAGTCTGCTTGTCCCTCTCCCTCTGCTCCTCCCCCTGTTCACACACTCTCTCTCTAATGACAGGTAAAATCTTAAAAAATAAATAAAATAAAATAAAATAAAATAAAATAAAATGTCATATGTCTGTTAAAAACCTATCTAAACTTGAGGTGCCTATGTAGCACCATTGGTCAAGTGTCCCACTTTTGGTTTTGGCTCAGGTCGTGATCTCAGGGTCATGAGATTGAGCCCTGCGTCAGGCTCCATGTTCAGCATGGAGTTAAGTTTCTCCCTCTCCCTCTGCCCCTTCCCCTCTGCATTTTCTCTCTCTCTCTCTCTCTCTCTCTCTCTCTCTCTAAAATAAATAAATAAGTCTTAAAAAAAAAACTACACACACACATCTAAACTGAACTCTCAAAAGGATTCTGCCAAATCCAAATCACCAGGACAGAGGTAATAAGCAATTTGATTGCCTTCCAGGCCATGGAACCTTCACAGCTGGATTCTTCCTTCAAATTTAATGGCACCAAAGCCAAAACATTTCTGAAGAGAAAGTGGCAAAGTCAAACAAATGAGTGATGGCAACATGAAAGCAACTCTCCTCCCCCTGGGCACACTCGGTTCTTTCCTGTTCCTGGCATACCTCTCCAATGATGTCGGTCTGAGACCCAGCATCGCAGAACTGCTGAGGTAAATCGCCAAGCGCAGCTGGGTTGTGAGGGAGCTCTTGTGGAGGGTCGCTAAGAGAAAAGCTATTCCTGAAGCCATCGCTCAGCTTGGCCAGACTCTGCAACAGAAGGAAACGAGTTATTGAGCAGAGGTGGTAATGCTTCGTTTCACTGGCTCCAGGGCGGCTGCGTTGGTACCAGAGACCTGGCCCACGCCAGCCCCCAGCCCCACCAGATGTAGAAGACACAGCCATCACCGCTGTGCGGTGCACCTTTGATACAATGCACGGCCACCTACATCAGAGAATGGCCGAGTCCTCCTGGCAGCGTGTCAAGAGTGTAGAGAACTGTGGTACCATTTTGATTGTTTCTTAAACCTTTGTTTCCTAAAGAAAAAAAATAAGCAATCCCACCCTCCCGTCAAGAAAAAGCCAAACTCAGAGACACAGACTGGAATGGTAGGTCACCAGGGGCTGAGGGTAGGTCAAAGGGCAAGGACTCTCGGTTACAAGATGAATCCGTTCCAGGCTGTAATGTACAGCATGGTGACTACAGTGAGCAACGTATCTATGTGAGGTGACAGATGTGTTAACTAACTTTATCGTGGTAATCGTTTCACAGTATATGTGTATATCAAATCATCAGGTCGTATACCTTAAATTTATAAAATTTTATTTGTCAATCGCACCTCAATAAAAACGGGGGGCACTACCATCCAAAATGTTGTATCAATAAATGAGTCTGACAGAGATGAGTGGTGCCAACTTGAGATTTTTATAAACCACACAGAAGGAAAACCACTCCCAGATGATGTTTAGATATTTTATATAACCTGATTTTTCAGTCGTAATTCTACATGGTCAAGAGTCATCTCATATGGATGTTAGTTTGCCAAAAACTAGAGTAAGCATGCCTTCTGGTATATGTAACTCCTTTGGGTGAAAGTCAAAAAGGAATCAGATCTTCAACAGCTTTTTAGAAGACTTTTGAATATATTTATCTTCAGCAGACATTTCTGCAGACACCAGAATGTGCAGGTGTACCTATCTAAACTCTATCTCCAGCCTCCATGGTGGGCAAACCACTTGAGGCACCTGGGTGGCTTGCCCCAGCCCTGCACATTTGGCAAGGCCTCCAAGCCCCCAGGGTGAAATATCATGTGGCTCACCCCTGGGGTTTGGGCTTAGATGAGATGGGTGATGTCCATGTAGCACCCCATCCAACACTGTGCTCAGGGACCTCAGTAAACGCCAGTAGCTGTTCCTGCCACCAGTGCTCGGAGAAAATCTACCCATTGACCGTTTACCTCTCATGACCTGGAGAGGGCATCTGAAAATACAGATTTGGGGGTCACATCCCCAGAGCCTAATCTAGCAGGCCTGGGTGAGGGCCCTGCAATGGTCAACTTAATGGCCACTGTGGGGACGCTCCACAAGTCTCCTGCATCCTTGACCTTTGGAAACACTGCATGCAAGGCAGTTATGTGTGAACCTGTCTCATTGGGCCCACGAGTCCGGGCTCTGCTTCACATGTCCTTCTAGGTCTTACATTCTGCAGAATGTAGACAAATGACTACTAGGTACCCAGTGTGTTGAGCAAAAAATGAAAGCCATAACAGAAACATCCGAATGCATACTAGGATCAAGCAAAAAGGCCAGCGTGCATCCGTCTGCAAAAACTCAACATTTTTCTAAAAATAACAAAATCTACAGATGTTCAAGGGACAAAAAAATAAAGCAGTATAAAGCTCAATGATCCCAGCCATTTAATTCAAATCTACCTACACAGTAGGATACTATGCAGCCATGTCAAGGAACAAAGCAGCTCATTGTGTACAGATACGGGAAAAGGTACAGGGTATTATCGTTACGTGAGGAAGCCAGGGCACAACAGCAGTAGGCACAGCCCTAGCTTTCTGTGGGGACAGCTGAACATGTGTTCACTATCTCCCGTGTCCACAAAAATACTGGCAGGGTATACAAGACGCTAACAGAAGTAGTTACGGGAGATGAGAGAATGAGGTGATAGCAAGACTTCTCATCATAGGCTTTTTACATTATTTTGATTATTGAACAATACGTATCACCTATCACAGTATGGCTTAAATTGTGTCCTCCCAAATGATATGTTCAAGTCCTAAGAATCTGTGAATCCGAGCTTATTTGGAAAAAGAATTGTTGCAGATGGAATCAAGTTAAGGAGAGGTCATAGTGAATCCGAGCAGGTTCTAGTCCAGTGGTTGGCATCCTTGGAAGAAGAGAAAATTTGGACACAGAAACACAAGGAGAACACCATGTGACCATGAAAGCAGAGATCAGAGCCATGCATCTATGAGGCAAAGAATGCCAAGGATTGCCAGCAGCTACCAGATGCTGGAAGAGGTGAGGGAGGGTCTTCTCCTAGAGCCTTGAGAGAGAGAGAGCGCGTGGCCCTGCTGGCACCTTGATTCTGAACACCTGGCCTCCAGACTCCGAAAGAACAAATCACAGTTGTTCTATACAAGCGTGTGGTATTTTGTCATGGCAACCCTAGGAAACTAACACTCTTATTTTTAAGTATTTTAATATATAGTATACAGAAATTTATACACATATAAAGAACATATATTTGTATATGACACATACATGTTTTAAAATATATATGAATTGTATACATAACAAATATATTTATAATAAATAACAAATGTATTTATAATACATAACAAATATATTTATAATAAAAAGACAAATGGAGGGCATCCCCGGTGGCTCAGTAGTTTAGTGCTGCCTTCGACCCAGGGCGTGATTCTGGGGACCCGGGATCGAGTCCCACATCAGGCTCCCTCTGCCTGTGTCTCTGCCTCTCTCTCTCTCTCTCTCTGCGTCTATCATGAATAAATAAATAAAATCTTAAAAAAAAAAAAGACAAATGGACACGCAGGCAGGCAGGCAAACGGACATGGGATCCGAAGAGTGTCAGGCCCCTACCTGCATCAGGTCCCGCCTCTCTTTCTCGCCTGTGCAAATGGCTTTCTTGATGGTCCGGAGCTCACTCATTATAGCCTGTGCCTCATCCAGTTTGTAGTTGGTGTGAGCACTTGACATCTTACGATCAATCCTGGTTAAAAAAGAAAAATAGAGTCATTCCACGCAAGATTAAAGCATTTCACTGAATGACAAGGAAAAACTCAGAAGCTTTATAGGAAGGTGGAAAAGAGTTAAACTCATTGGTTCGGCAAAGAGAAATAAAGATCCCATAAAACCTTTCCTGCTTGTGGTAAATACGCAGAGATGAGAGTTGGCCACTGGACGACTTCCTTTGCTCCAGGAACATCCAATGCAGGTGAGGACTTTCGAGTCAGGATTCCCATGACCTCTACTAATGATTAGGCAACAAACATTGGCTTAAGTAATTCCCTGAGATTTTAAACGCCTCTCTGAGAGGAGGATCGTGTCTTATTTGTTTATCCCCAGCATCTGGGGTAGTGGTCAAAAATGTCTATTAATAAACACATGAATGACACCTGTGTGTAAGAACATATGGGAAAGGGCAAAAAGTTGTGAAGTGATAGTGATGCCTTACATAAATTCGCCAGCTCTATGTCTCCTCTACCTTTCTTTTATCTCATTCTGGTTCTAATTTCTCTTTCTCTCTCCCTACTACTCACCTCTTCAATTCTTTCCTGCAATCCAAATATCCATTCATCCTTCCTCCCTTCCTTCCATCTAGCTAAACTTCCTCCCTCCCCTGCTCCTCCCCTTCCTTCTCTCCTCCTGGGCAGTCTGCCCCTGTGCACACAACCCCCGGTCTGGGTGCTGGAAACAGAGCACTGACCAAGCCAAGGCTTGGCTCTGGTTTTCCCAGAGTAGGCAATCTCCTACAGCACACCCTTTGTCTTACCTTCCCTACCCAGGTCTGGAGACCTAGAAGCCCTCGGAGCTAAAGAGGTTGGATACTTTGGTCCAGAAATGGCATGAACTCCCTCTCTGGAAAGCCATTAGCATGCTTTTCAGTTCCAGATCCTCCATCACACAGGTCCTGGTGCTCAACAGTTTCCCCTATGTGACCAGGAAATCTGGCTCTTTAACGGCCAGCCCAAACTCCCTTTATTCTCCACTCACGAAAGCATCCTGGCATGCTGGTGAGTCCCAGTGACACTCCAGCATGACAGCAGGACCCTGGGCAAGGCACTTCACCTCTTTACACCTCAGTTTAATGCTTCCCCCATTTACTGAGAAAATGTCCGGAGACAGCTTACTTGGCAGAGCTCCTGGTATGTAATGTTTGCAAGTGATTATTATTATCAGGATGGTGCTGAATCTGCGAACTCATGGAAGACAAAGTAAAGAATTGACCAACTCCACTACTTTAAGCCAGAGATGGTCTGTGCTATCAGCAGCCTTGGAATAAGAGAAGGACAAATAAAACAGGCAGGAACCCGTTCTCTCCCTCTGGAATCAGGCTTCAGGGCTCAAGAGCACTGCTGTGACTTGCATCAGCTAGAAATGATGTATTTATGAAAATTGGTCCTGGGTCCTCTTCGAAGCATGGAGTGGATGTGAGCGCATCATGGGTCCCCACACACTCAATGGTGACATCCCTACATCCCAACATGGCTTGGCCATGTGTTTTCCCATTTTAGCTGTTTTACAGAGAACCAGGAGTCTCTAACAGAAGGCAGAAATAGAAGGCCATCCATCTCACATCGACCAAAGAAGCGGCCCTACTTTTCTTGCAGAGAAAAATCTAGACATGTAATAAGGTCTCCCTATACTCATCTTCTGATAAAAGGCTTTCCAATACATCTCATTTAATGTCACAACCAATAACCCACAAAGGCTGATGAAGGAGAAAGAAAAGGTTTACATCATTCTCAGACAAAAAACCCAAGGCCAGAGAAATCAGATTTCTCTAGAACAGTCAATGACCAGCACCTCTGCTAACCAGGTCTACTGCTCCTCTAGAATGAAAAGTACAGCAAATTGATCATCATGTGACACTGACACCCATATGGAGAAATGAAACTCCACTGCATCGAGCAAAACGTTTTCAATTGCATGAAAACCAAAGCTAATCAAATAGCCACAGAAGTACAGACACACATACCCAGTGTTAAGGCTGTAATGCGAGCCGCTACTCATGTCAGCTCCGGCTTTATACTGAAGTGTTGGGATTTCCTTCTGGCTTTTAGTAGCAATAAAGGCTAAGTGTGGCCATCAGTAAACCCAGGGATTGAGCCAGCAGCCTGTCAAGGCACCAAGTTCTACGATGGGAATGGCTGCCACAGAGAGGAAAGGAGGCCCCAAGTCCCCTTAGGAAGAGGGATCAGCAGCCCCATAATTCATCCTGCCAGCGGACACTGCAGAGCACCTAGGACAAGGACAGCTCAACTTCAAGGTCACGGACATGCGCTCTGGCCTTAGTTTGACCCAAGTGGCTTCGAGACCTTGAAGAGAACACACAGTGGCCCAGAACGGCTGTTTCCACCGTTTTGAGGGTGCCCTGGCATGGGGAGCAGGAGCAACTAAAGGGAGAGCCTGTTTAGGGCTTGGGGACCCTCACCCCCGCTTCAGCAAGCACCTCCCCTTTGCTCTGTCTCAGACATTCTGGTTTCATAGAGGATGTCCTTTGCAGGAAAGGAAAGGGAAAAAGATTCCACTGTTTAAAATGTTTAAAAAGTGTGAAAGCTACTAGGGAACGTGATCTTGAAGTCCTAGTATTTCAGAGCAAATACTGTTATATAATAATAGTATGTAACTATTTTTAAGTAAGTATACATTTCATATATTAATATTATATATTACATTATATAAAAATATAATTATACATAAGGATTATTATATATTATGCAAATCTAACCTTCTAGAAACATTTTATATAGTACATATTATTCGATTATATTATATAATTATATACATAGTACATTAAAATAGTTTGATGTATCAAGCACCTACTAGGTGCCAGGGTCTGGCTGATTGCTTTGCCTTTGTCACTTCCTGGAATCCCCTCAACAGCTTTATGGGGTAAGCATAACCTTCTCAGATTTTATAAGGAAAGACGTGAGGCTCAGAGAGATGAACTAATTGGCCCAAGATGACAAGCAAAGGTCTGGGAGAGCTGCCAGGATTCAAACCCACGTCCCCCAGTGCTCAAGTCTGCACTGGATCGCCAAGTGCAGTGATGCCCCTTGATACAGCAGGCGTGCCCCCACTCAGGGCGGCCAAGGTCGGGCCCATATGCTTTTATAAGGGCAAGCAATGTTTCACAGAACTCCCAACACTTCCAATTTTGCAACTATGATAAATTCTCATCTAATAAAAACTTCAAAGAGGAGGAAAACTTTTCCTTTACATCTGCAAAATTCATTTCTTTGGGAGTGTTTTCCCTTTGGTCAAATTCCCTCTAGAACTCTGGTCAAACGCAGAGGATGTGGTCAGTGATTTGGTGTTTTCTAAAATACCAATATATTCCATTTCATAAAGAAAATCATAACATCTGTGACTGCCAAAGAACTGTCTTTTCTTTTTTCAATCTTAATTAAGAGCCCAAGAGAGTGCTTATACATCTGGAAAAAAATGATAGAAAAGCAATACCCACTCAACAAAAGGTGGTACTAATGAAAACCTAAGTTATTATGCAGTATGCTATGATCTGAATGTCTATGTCCCACCACCCTGTTCACATGCTGGGATCGTAATTCCCAGGGTGATGGTGTTAGGTGGTGGGGCCTTTGGGAGGTGATCAGGTCATCAGGTCATGAGAGAGAAGTCCCCATGAATGGGATCAGTGCTCTTATAAAACAACCCACAGGGTTCCCTGCCCCTTCCATCATAGGAGGACACAGCAAGAAGATGGCTATTTAGGAATCAGGAAGCTGGCTTTCACTGGACACAGAACCTGACCATGCTGGCACTTCCAGCCTCCAAAACTTAAAGAAATAAATTTCTAGTGTTTATAAGCCATCCAGTCTGTGGTATTTTGTTATAGCAGACCAAATGGACTAAGGCACAGTGTAAAAAAAAAAAAATCTAGTACACAGACCAGAGTCTTCACTTTTCTCTCAACATCTTGCAGCAGCTTCCGGGAGGTGAGGTGACTTGCTTGAGGTAACGCAGTCAGTAAGGGGCACAGTGTGAGGTTCACACCAAGGACCCTCACATCGGCACTCATCCTCTTCCTCACTGGGTTAGCAATACACTCAAAGTCAAGGCCTCCAAACTCACACTATGTCAAACCCAAAGGCCGCCCACACAGCCCATCAAATGTCGTCCCAAAGTACACTGGTGCTCTTTATGGTCTGCTTGTGAAAGAAATGGTTAAAGAGAAGAGAAGAATGTGCAGCTTCGCATGATGACAGAAGTGTGGTTGAGAAGGCAGCTTAGAGTTTTTTCTGAACCCCTGCCTCCCGTTGCTCTACAGTTTCCATATTTGCTGTCCAATTTAGGATGCTAAGAGAACTTACTGGCAAGAGTAAAACCACATGGCTTCTTTTTTTAAATAAAGATTTATCCATTTATTAGAAAGAGACAGAGAGAGGGAGAGAGAGCACACACACGCAAGTTGGTGGGGGAGCAAAGGGGAAAAAGCAGACCTCCACTGAGTGCAGAGCCCGACGATGTGGGACTTGATCCCATGACCCTGAGATGGTGACCTGAGTCAAAATCAAGAGTCAGATGCTTAACCAACTGAGCCATCCAGGGGCCCCAAACTAAATGGCTTCTTAACCCACAGCATGAAGAAAAGGGCTGCCAGGCCTCGAAAGATATTCTATATTAATACCACACATTACAACCCAAAAGAATGAGAAGTTTTGTCACAACTCTACCTTTTACATCACCAGCTTGGGCAGGTGGCCTTGAATGCACTTCAGACAGCTTCTGGCAGCTTTCTATCAACAGCAGGTCCTGTATGGAGCACCAGACCTGTCCCACAACCGGAAACAATGCTCTTTTTGTTTCCACCCCTGCCGCTGTATGCTGCACAGTTATCGCAACAGCGCTGGGGGTTCTGCATGGACCACACCCTATGTGCTAGGTTAATGCGATACTGTAGGCCTGAGCCTGTCCCAACTGTGAACAATCTCATTCTCTTCTGAAAACACTAACTCCCCTCAGACA